TTTTGCGAGAGCATGTATTTGAGTTATTTTCGTTTTCAATCAAACGCGTGGCAAAATGAGGGTGATATTTTTACTCACAAGTCTCACAATGAAGAAGGTGCGAGTTTCTTTTTTTTATTTATTTGTTTTTTGAAAAAAAGCTGGTCTTGCTTGAAAGTAAGTCTCTTATTAAAAACTATCCGAGTTTTACAGCGGATTCTAACAATCTTTGTGAAAAGCAAACAGCTCTATCAACAGTCGAGCAAATAAGAATAGTCTTCTACCTGATTCAATGGCGCGACGTTAATACCCGGTTACTCATGCTCTCATTACCATTGCATTGCCAGTTTTAAGCAATGTAAAAGAAAAAACAGTGGCATCTCTTTACTTCAATTACAAAAGCAACAGTCGCCCCACCATCCACCCCACCGTGACTATTTGCATCCTAAAAAAAATCCACCAGTATCACCCCTCACTGGGAGGATTTGTTCTTATCGTCAGTTTTGCCGATGGTTTAAATTTGCTGCTCGTATGATAAACGGAAATGTTGAAAAATCCCGCGTGTATTTTAAAGCTGTTTCCGCCATTGTTCCAAAGTGGCCATAAACGGTCGTTTTTGATCATTTAACAAAGCCTATTTTAATCAAAGTTGATCCACTTTTCTTGGTATGACAAAACTGTTATTAAAAACGGCGTAACTGTAAGCTCAGGATTTGGATTTAAAAGTGGTAGATTTCGATAAATTGCAGAAGTAGCAATCTTTAAGATATTCTTTTAATTAAAAGTCATTAATTGGATATTTTCTCCTAGTTTTCATACGCCTTTGGCCCTAAAAAGTTCGAGTTTAGATATACTTTCTGTTGATTTAACAATCATTTTAAATCATTGTCAGGAAGTGTGGTAGTTAGCTATTGTTGCCTGCAAAGTAACCAGTAAAAAGGTACATCCATATGTTGACTTTAAAGATCAAATGTAAAAAGCTTAACACAATACAAAACCATCATTATTAACACCGTAACTGTAAGCTCAAGATATGGATTTGAAAATGTTAAAGTTCGATAAATGTCACAAGTAGCAATCTTTAAGATATTCTATTAGTTAAAAGTAATTTACTAAATATTTTCTCTCAGTTCTCATACGCTTTTGGCCATTGGCCATAAGAAGTTCGAGTTGAGGCAA